TTATATACAACTCGAGGTATTTTTTGAAAAATTGAAGTGAAGTACTATGTATTATATATCATCTGAAAGAGGAGGTTCTCTCCATTCTATTCCATATTCTCGCACTGAAAACAGTTACAATAGTACGAGTCTAATCCAGGAAAAATGATCCAAAAGTAAACATCATTCTAGCACAATTATCCTCTAAAAACAGCTTGATTAAGCACAATTTATTCTCGTAATTATATTGTTATAATGCAAGAAGTACTCAAAATGTATATTTATCATCATCATTCGCAATCTTCTGTCCCTGTATTCGGCAAAGGATCTGCAAATAGGCATAAAGATGTTATTTATTTCTTTAACAACTTTCATTTCTCAATGATTTAATTTAACAAACTTTGCATAAACTTTAATGGTAGGCGGAGATTGCCTCCTCCCTCCCTGGTCAACCACCCCATTCACCTAGAGAGGTGAAAGTTTTTTGAGCCCCTTCACCCAGGAGGGCCAGTGTTCACCTTATCGCACGTATGGCTTTAAGTATAGGCATTTTATGATTAATTGAAGATTCATGTTTTGTTGACTTACTTAAGGTCACACATCCTTCAGGTTGGCAGAACACGGTGACATCAGTTGGAAGGTAAAAATCCTTATGGTCGTCTGTGGGGTACCTGTAACGATACGGGATGTAACGGGCAAGAGTAAGGAAACATATTTCTTGAAACATTTCAAATAAGTTACAAATCGAGTAGAAGTAATAGCATTCAAAGCGTAAGAATGTACCTCCTCAATATTTCCGGATAAGTTATTGAAGAGTGGATTGGCCCATCTGCGCTACTACATTTGCTCGTATTTCTGGAAAGAACTTTGCACTAAGAGGTAACTAAGAACAGTAAGATTTATTTGAAAAAGTCATGAGCTCACACACCTTGTTCTCTTTCGTTTGCCAACAACGACAAGGTAATCTATTAGTCGTGGGCAAAGCTCTTTTTCTTTATCAGACATGTCGTGCCTGCATCTGGAACAAGAAGCAGGATAGATGTAGAATATTTAATGGTGTATATAACATTCGGCTCAAGGGTGTAGACGTAAAGCAAATTAGCAACTATTCTTAAAAATGTAAAAAGTAGAAGTTTTTGCTAGTTCTCTTCTTATCTCTCGATAAATGGACTGTAATTTCACAATGAGGATTCAGCATGCTTTTTACTGGAAGTTGGCACGTTTTCTTTCTCTACTTTCAAGTAGGACGAAAAAACCATTTACAGTAACACTTCTATGAAGAATTTCACTTTCGCGTAGATACTCATAATTTAGGATTTTTAATGTTGCTGCTATGGGCCCTACATTGCGCTTGAACTACTAGAAATGCACATAGCAGAAAAGTAGGGGCAATTCGCGACATCACTAATGATGAAGTCAACTACCAGATGTGCTACCAACATCATAAAGAAGCA